TTTGAACTGGCCATTGAGTTGAAACATGAATATTTATCTGAGGAATGAATTTGTTCTGAGTAGTCAGGACGTAAGACACGTTTTCCCGGAGTTACCCGTCCTCCCCGTTGTGACGTGATTCTGATGTAATGTTGATCTTTTTGCTGGGTATTTTTCCAGAGTGATTGTTCGTGTTTTGACTGCTTGAGAATTGGGCAGAGCACTTTTCTCGAGAGCGTGATTTGTTTTTCTTGACAGACCTTTTAGGGGTAGAAATTTGATATCAAAAAGGTTTGAAAGCTTTGCAGGACGTGTTCTGTTGGAAGATCCGGCGATTTCGTGGGACATGTTCTATTGGCAGAGTCGTTTGGATTGGAATGGTAGATGATTTATTGTTAGCATACTTGTAGGGGCTTTGGTTTTTCTGTCTGCCGTTTTGTCTGGCAATGATAGTCGTGTCGGGAATTTCGTAGATCGTATCTCGTACCGAGCAGGGGGGCTGATTGGGGTGCTCGGCAGAGTATACTGTCTACGGGGCCTCCGGGGGATACGCGGATGGATTGTATTGACGGACATGCTGCATGGCGATGGTGTGGCCTACCGCATGTCTCTCACTCTCTAAGCAACAAGGTCTTGAGTCAACCTTCTTTCTCTTTCGGCCTCTGACGAGCTACCACACCCAAACAGGTGATTGTACTGATGTTCGGCAAAAAAAAACTCTCCCGTTCGGCGCAATCTGGTGTAGACGTTCTGTGCGCCGGTTGACTCCGTGGTCGGTCGTAAAGTCCCCCGAGCATCAAATAATATTTAATAGATGCCAGTGAGATCCATGTTTTGTGGGGGGGGGATATGTACAGTATGTGGAAGTCATGTTCAATCAGTCCACAGGGAATGGCTGAATACTTCTCGCAATAAGACCAATGACAAGCAATCGCCGCAGCGCCGCACACGGAACGAAGAAGGCGGAGAAAACAAAATAAGATAACTACGTTGTACTCCTGTTTGACCCCGGCGGGTGCTGCGTCCAGAATCAATTGTACCTGTGTACGATTGTATTCTACAGAAGAACGGTAAACGAAGTACGTACGTACATAGAAGTAGATACATACGTAGATTACGTGTACAGTCGTTCCCGCTTTAAAGACACCATTTTTAAAGACACTCTCCGCTAAAAGGACACAAAAAATCTCAGAAACATGGTGCCCCGCAGATGTGAAAAAGTAGGGGGGATTGGGTTTTCCACCATTCGACCCCCCCCAGAAAATGTGCTGCAGCACCTGTAGACCCTGGATCATCAACAGCGGTCTGCTGCTTTGCTCACGAAGTCATGACACAAGGACTCACAGGACTCAAATCTCGCGCTGTCCTGGCAAATATCCTCCCTTGTGATGGTGTGGTCCTGCCCTGCGAGTACGACAGCGGGCTCCACCCCGGTTGTCGTATGCGAGTGTGATGAAAGTGGGGCGCAAGGTGGGGCGCAAGGTGGGGCGGAAAAGGGGCCTAAATTGTCCCCGGAATGCTCCATGTACGCCTGCATACTTTGAAAACCACGAATGTATGTGCGCAAATAGCTCTGCGCTCCTCTCCTATGCTATTTTTTTTACTGTGTGCGCTCCTCTGTCAGCGTCCAATGCTTGATTGTTGTTGTCATATACCATAGCGTAGGCATGACCCTAGCGAGGGGAGGGGTCTTTCTAGCGAGCAGGGCTAGACTCACCCTCAAGGGACCGATACCTCCTTGCTGCGGCGCACCCGCCGCGAGGCGTGCGTAGTGGTGGAGTTGGGTCGGCACTGGTGCGTCAGGTTCAAAAGTGCGGATGCGCGAGCCTCCAGGCCGTCGGTGTAGGCAGCAATGCCCATCTCATCTTTGTGCGCGGAGGCAGACGTCATCAGAAAGGTGGACGGGCACTATGTACACGGCCCTAGGTTTGCTAGAGGGAGCTGTACTGTCTCAGTAACCTGGTTTTGCCATCAAAGGAGGAGGGGACAGGAAGTGACGAGCTGATTGGGCTGGTTGACCCTTCAGCGCGAGAATTTTCAGACCAAGAACCCCAAGTGCAACGAGGGAAAAAGCGAGGAACCGACTGGGAAGGACAGCAACGAGAGCATGTACGAAGCGGGGCGGGTCGAGTTTGGTCGTGCTAGGACTGGCCACAGCGGCACCGCAGCAGCGGAACCGGAGCATGCGGACCGTGGCGCACGGACAAACATCTCTTGTGCTGTCAAAAAAAAAAAACTTAATTCTACACAACAAATCCATCTCGATTTAAAGAAGGAAGTCTAAGATAGATTAGCAATGAATCCATAGCGTGAGCGAAACGCTACCTGTATGTCTACGGTTTCCCAGACAGCATACAACGATATCTCCCCTGTGGGTAACAGGTTCAACAAGGCAGTTTGGTAGCCATCTTGTGTATCTATCTGTATGTTGGGAAGTTGTAGACGGAAGATCTAGGGGAACTCGGTTTGTCGGGTGTTCTATTATGGGACCCTTACGTGGTTGCGGAACAAGCGCCTCTCGGGGTACGTATATTTTTGTTATTTTCCGTTTTTTTCCTGAAAATAGGTTTTGGGTGTGTATGATGATGACGTCACTGGTTTTGTAGAGAGACGCGGCAGAGATGGCGCGGATAACCCGGGTGCCTTAATTGTGTACCTGCGTCGTGGAAGACCCCTTCAATGTGGAACGATTCCTAGTCAGTGTCGATGTTTACACTGCTGCTGTGCCTAACACAGATGATCTGGATAGATTCGGGTGATTGTCAATTGCAATGATGGCTTTGGTTGGGTGCTCTTCTTCATTGTATGTTCCACGGACTCATTCTGACAGCCCTTCAGACAGCAGTACGCTGTAGTAGTCGACAAACATTCATTTTGGTTAAATGCGGGACAAGGGGGGTTATGCTGCTGCTGTAAATAGTCGAATTGTAGTGTGTGGGCGTGCAGTTCAGTTGTGAGCACGCAAACGTGCTGCAGGGATTGTAGGTGTACCTCCTCGGGCTTGTGTACCCTTTTCTTGCTAATAGTGTGTGTTTAGATCTTCTGATCGCTCTATCGAGCATTTTTGTGACCACGGACAGAGTAGACTATTTGCTAGATTTTGGGATTAGCAACTGACACGAGTGTAATGTGAAGACAACAACAAAAATATTCCGCCAGGTGTCCTCCACAGGACACCTAAAACTGTGCCTACTTCGCCAATCTGCTTGCAATTAATATTGTACTTCACGAAATTACAACATCTCTCATGGTTGGTTGCCAACCGCGAGAGGAACTCAACAGGATGCAGCCGATAGCTGCTTGCAATGCACGCGTATATGCATAGACTATACAGCAGCAGCGAGCATGCTGCTCTGCTTGCTCAGCATGTATGTATGCTGCATGTAGCAGATTAATTGCCAGCAGTCTCTTTTTGTCTGAGGACATTTACTTTGTTGTGCCGCAAGTACCTAAACACCGACGGCCTCTCAGATGTTTTGTTTGGTCGAAAATGACGGTTGCCACTAGAGATGGGCACCGGAGGAGAAAAAGCAATAATAACCGATAACCGGCTACGAGGCGTTCTTCTCAAAATCCAATAGCCGGTATAAACGGTTTTTTCCAGCCCCGTTCAACCGGTTAACCGAATCATGTACGGAAACGCCTCAGCAATCCCTCAAACTTGGGTCTGTTTTGTGGCTTTATGGCATAACCGCCATCTTGCAACCACCCAGTCCTTGTGCCGCCGGTATATGGCGCACTCACACGATGTGTTATCGTAGTGTCAGAGAAGTGATAGGCACGAGAATGGAACAATCAATCAATGAGCAAAAACCGACTACGTAAGAGAAGCTATTCTCAAATAAAAAACCGGCGAATAACCGGTTGCAGCAGTTGCGGCGCCGTTAAGAAAAAATTATTGAAGAAAAATACCCTCAATCAACTTTTGAGGAAAATACGAAAAAGTGACTAAGAAACATACCTCAAGATGGACGCAAAGGTAATAAACATCCGAATAAGAAAACACACACCCACACAGGTATGACATGTAAGAAACTAGGGGACCGGAGCTCATGGCAACTAGCTTAATTAAGTGCCTTTGTGCGTTTCTTCCGAACAATAATGCACTGTTTCGATTGTTGCACAGGAGGGGCGGCGCACCTCGGCACCTTGGAAGCACCAGTTTGACTAGACCCCAGGAAGCGGTTTTTCGATTTTGTTTCTGTGTTTCGCACTCATCGGTTGGGAGACGTTCGTGGATGGAGGATTTGGTTGTCGAAAGAACGGGTAACATAAAGAAACGGCAACAACAGCAGTAACTGAGAGACGTATCAGCCAGGCGATAGAGCAAAACAATGAGAATTTGTCATTTTAAAGAAATTCATGAGTATTCGGTATTCGACCAACAGCCAGAAATTTAAGAAGCTCAATTATAAGAGAAAGAGTACTCATGTTTTGGAATTTGCTCCACATATAAGATTTTGTGCCTCGACCCGAATTTGACCTTTCTTATTCGCGGGCCCCAACTGTATTCAGCGCCAGTTGACCGGATAACCGGTAAACCGGGTAAAACCCTTTCAAAAAACGCCCCCTTTTACAAATAACTCCGTTTTTTTTATATAACCGTCACTCATGAACGCCTGCTGGGTTTCCTAACAACCGAGTATTGCCGGTTATTTTTCAAACGGTGCCCATCTCTAGTTGCCACCTAGCGGCGTTCAACACTTTCCGTCCCCTTTGCCATGAACAACCCTCGAGCACGGAAACACAATGCGCGAAACATGGCCTCTTCGGAGCCCCAGAATGCTTCAGTGTAGACTTCATCATACATGCAACCCATCACTTCATGCTGTCGAAGAATAATGAGGCGAGGTCGTCAGGGTCTTCGACGTGCACGTCCTTGATCTGGGCCTTCTCCCACGACGGGGTTGTTGGTGGATATCGTGTTCCGGTGTAGCGGGCGAGGAAGAGGAGCAGGATGTCGGAATCATCGCCGAACTCCCATCGGGGCAACGTGTTCCAGTTCATGACGGGGTACTTCCTCCATGTATCACCATATTGCCCTTCTCCCCTTCTCCTTCCCTTTGTGGTGTTGTACTATTCCACTCGTGACTGAGCTTCGCCGTCACACGGCCTCGGTCTTGACCATCCCGCTTTTTCTGGTACAAGCTACTACCATTTGCTAGCGGGGTCAGGGTGGCGGCGAGGATTCGTCACGAATTGGAATGTTACACTACACACCAGACGACAAGGAACGGGTGTACTCATACTCATAGTCGTGCATGCCGTAGTCGTTAGGCCATTGACCTCGCATCCCTACAAAGCCGGGACGGAGCACGCCGGGTTCTCACCGGACCAGGCTCTCACATCACCAAGCGCGAAGCGCCGTGAGATATTCGGCGAGTCGCATGAAGGGTGCGCTGCATCCTGCTAAGGGTTTTCGGCATCTTGTGCTTACTTCCTTGCGTACGGATGACAGCTGCGTATGAATTACTTTATTTTCTGGTGCTTTCACTTCCAGAGACAGTTGTAAGCACTGTGTAACTGCCTCGAGGGTGCTTGACCATTTTAACACAATGTGGTGCGATCATCCCCATTGCGCGGAGCGAGGGTTCTCGACCCCGCACAACATGATCTACTCGGCCACCATTATGGTTACCGCCAAAAAAAAAACCGGAAGTCAAAAAAAAAAACGGTAACCTGGTTGCCGAGTTCACGAAGTGAATTGGCTTGTTTTACAACGTCGTTGCCAAGCGACGAAAACCCAACCCCGATGGTAAAACACCGGGGGGGGCGGGGGGCCGACAAGGAACGGGGAAGCAAAAAAGGTCCCGTCAACGCGATGGTCAGGAGGGCCCACGTGCGGCGGCTAAGACCACTCATAAACTTGAAACATGTGGTACGAAGCCAAGCAACGGGGGGAGAGAAGGGCAAAGCTTGACGCACAAACGATATCAGACGAGGTGGCGCGGGGTAGTGATCATGAACAAGCATGCTTGTGAGCTGTATGACACGCCAATGCTACATGATTCTGCAGCCCAGCAGTGGCTCCGTGTATGGCCGGGTACGAACTCAGTTACGTTGCCCGTAACAAGACAAGTGTTTTGACACCAAAACATGTCCAAAAAAAGCGAAAACTACTCTAGAATTTCGAAAACAACCTCTCTCTTCTTGAGAACATGAGATATTCGACAACAATTCTCCTTCCTCCGCAAGGGACCAAACTTTTTCACTTCAGGTTCAAATAATAGCCCATCCATGTGCCTCTGCACCGGAGAGCACGACAACATCACGTAATAGGGCGCCGGTTGGACTTGACGGTGTACAACGTGAACACGGGGGTGATCAAAGAACATTGCGGCGACTTTCGTCAAATACTGTATGTACAAGGTGCGGTAGGCTTTCTCAGAGGTCACCTCGAAAGCGGTGGTCTTTTGTCCCTTTTCAACAGCTTCGTGTGTCGTCGTGCTTCTGAGGGCCAACGAAGCATCTCAAGCCTGTCGCTCGGCTCGGGCGTACACCACGTGATTTTCCAATCACGAACCTAGAAAGGAATGCATGCATAGTGTAATACAGGTCCACGATAAGTGCACCGGAGCCGACTACAAAACACTTACACGCAACCGTCGCGGATACTGTATGCAAAGGTTTTCAAAGCGATGCGCAAGTCTGTAGAAATCGTCCAGCACCCGACGTTATGCTTACAACTTGGAGTAGTCATGTTGTGGGAATGTCGGCAGCATCATTCCGCATTGAATGCACAGCAGCGATGGATATCAGCTTCCCTTGAAAGAAATCTTAGACCGGTGCTACCCCAAACGATCTGAGTCCGTGATTCCAGTGCTGCGCACTAGAGAGAGGTGTCCATTGTTGTACAATGTTGACGGCTTCGACACCCAACGAAAAAACTGACGTCTGCAGATGCCCGTAACCACAGTGAAAACCACGCTCGTCTGGTTGCCCCACCACCACGGTTAGGTGATGCGTATGTCGCCACTCGGGACCGGCCCGGAGGCCATCTCCCATCGGCAGCTTGTGCCCGAAGGAACTCACGAAGAGCAGTCTGCGACATCTGCTCCAAACTCAGCTCTCGTGCTCAGTTGGCGGAGGTAAGTACTAGGAGTCTGAAGGTGAGGAGAGGAGGGAGATAGGGGGGGGGGGGGGGG